ACACCGAACAAAGGTGATTTAACACAATATAATGAATGAGGAGATGTGTGTGTATGTTTCAAGCAGATAACTGTTTTGCAGCCAAAAACAGCTGTTTTGATGTTTCCTCCCAAAGCCCAGTTCAGACCGAAGATTGGAGGGGAGGTGAAATTTAAAACTGTGGCAGGAAAAAGTCGCCAGTGTCTGGCTTAAGAGCTGGTCACGTCAGATACAAACTGTCAGCTGGTTTGTTGATATCACGTTCAAAAGATGGACAAACAAACTAAGGTTGAACATGTAGTCACAGATTCGCGGGGCAATAATTTATAGCTAAACGTTCTTCCCATGGTAAGGTAGACAACAAGCTACAATGTAAATTTCATCAGGACAAGCCGTCTTTTCAGCTCGGCCAGTAACACTGATCTCTTTGCACAACTGACCGTGAAACGAGTGCGCAGGGACCGTCTACAAAGTGCAACACCGAAAAGCGATAGGCTAACGAAAGTATTCAGGCATGTCAATACTATTGACATAATATAGAGTGTAGTGCCACTACCGTCATTACGACCACCAGGGGTCTCTAGTGGGTAAAACTACAACACTGAGTTTGGGGAAATAGGCTTTTATCTGATTTGGGGGATTTTTTCTTCTTTACAGTGTAGTCTCCGCAAAATCACTTCACACATTAATGGTCTCCTGCTGACCATACTACAACACTAATTTAAAACCTCAAGAGACCATAGTTGCTGAGTGAAACCACCTAGCTTTTAAAGATTTAATTAATATTTAATCATTTTAAGCAGAATCTTTTTACTGCAACCATCAGAGAAAGTGTTTTTCCACAACTCATTACATTTTCTAGTTTAGAAGCTTTCCCCACTGGTCAGTAGTTGAAAACAGGGGGTTCAGTCAGAGCAGTTTATTGGTGCAATCCCAAAATAAACTGACATTGTTAGAACATATGTGATTTGGTCAAAGTGGTGAAACTGTGGATTTGTCTTGATTATAATTATGTTAAGAGAAGATTCATCAAAACAAGTTCACTCATTTAATCCTCAGCAAACTATATATACAGAACAAATTCACACAGCCAAAAAAATAAAAAAGTACAAAGATACAAAGTCACTCAGCAGTGTTCTTCCGACATGAATTGAGACTCTAAAACAAGATATTGACCAGGTTTGATGAAATAAAATTACATCAGAAGAAAAAAGAGTCAAAACAAACACTCCTTGAATATCTATACCACATATAATACTGTACATTATTTATGAATAAATCCACAATCCTGATTTTGACATTAAAAGGGAAAAATAGAATTGACAGCTACTTTTATCTTACAGGATAACAATATCTGCAGTCAGTCCCAAGACTAAAAAAAATTCACTATAGACCATGGACAGATGTTTATTTCAGTTGTACAAATTTTGCAACAAGTTTGACTTATACCTTTCTAAAAGCAGACATGGCTGGGGTTATGGGAATCTTGCATCTTTTGACATTTTCAATCCATAAATTTTCCAAACCTAAACCCTCCAATCTATTTTAAGACTTTGCCAAACTCACATATAACCTGTTCAGTTTGGGCTGTTGCACAACAGACAATACCAAGGGGTATCTTTGTTTGGTATTTGTTCTGCTGTCATTCCTAGGCACTGTGTGTGAAGCCCTCTTGTACAAGTTCCACACTGAATCTGGGGGATAAACATGTAAAACAGAAACATGTTCCTTTTTGGAAAGCTGTAATACAATATTTTATCACTTTAATGGTATCCCTGAAATTTCACTCTGTATTATCAACACATTATCCACTGTTCAGATTATCTATTTTATTTTTATTTTTTTTATTTTTTTTTATTTAAAGTTTTTTCAGTTTATAGAGACAAAACATAACAGATACAAAAACAGACAAGCGACAAGCAAGCAGACAAGACAGAATTACACACAGAATAAACAGGGGGGAGGGGGGACGGTACATGATACTCCAAGGCAATGTCAGGGTAGAGAG